CTCGTTTGATGACTCGCAAGTTACTACCATGAATCTATTAGCAGGATGGTGGTAATAATCAATTCATTTTCCTTGTCTTCTATGTATCTAGATGTTTCTATCAATAAAAAACAGTGTATTCTCCTTATCAAGAACTCAATCATTCTCAATCTGTTATTGACTCAATCATACAATGGATAACTTGATTATAATCCTAGAGACTATTATCTGTGGCCAATAAGGACACGCACAAAGAAACAAGTCGACAAAACAATAGAGGAATGTCAATCATACAACTTCTTGCTTACCTGAAAGATGCCAATTCCGAGAGCAACCCATCTCACAATATTCCAATTCTCACTCAGAAATCCATATATTGCATCAAAATCTCCAGTTTTATCTTTCGGAATTTCCTGAATGGAACATATTATAAATGAGAAATACATATTTAATTTCAGATTACAAATTACCAAAGACAATTTTACTTACTTCTTTCCAGTTTTTGTCAAAGAATATAAAGGCTGCACATCCCAGCTCTACCAAGATCAACAATGCCACCAAAATTGAATACTTCGTTCACTTAAGGAAATTAATAACAAATCCTTTGATCAGTACAGATTAATGCATGTATATATGTACAGACACACACTATGAGAGAAGAGCAGAAGCTTAAAATCGTGTTTTCTTTGTATATTAGTGGAAATTTATAATATCATGAAATACTTTTAACCGTAGCATAAGACATTCTAATAGGATACACAGCTCAGGCAGCATCCATTCCTTGTTGCAGCTCCAATACATCCAAAACAAGAAATAAGAAAGAGGACTACTCCCACACCAATAAATAAGAAAATAAACCTGCAGAATACGAAATAAAGAATTAGATTGAGAATGTTCTTTATCAATTTCAAAAAAAACTAAATCATATTTGTTGTGTGTATACTAACTATACCACAAAACCAAAAACGAAACAGTTTATCATATAAAAATAAATGTAAAACGAGTTATTACTCAAGAATGAATAAAATAAGAGAACAACAGGACAAAATACCTTTGGTATGTTATTGGTCTTTTTTTTTCTCACATAAATACATTGTTCAGTAAAAGATACACTACACCAGAAAAAATATTAGTTAATTCAAATTTTCACTCTGTGCACCATTCTAGAAAGTGCATAAAGTTTATTATAAGTTTTTTTTCTTAATCGGTGACGAGAATGATCAATTACGGATTAACTACATAATTGGATTCCAACAATACTTTAACCATGAGGCTATGATTTATCGGTCACGAAAGTTCACCTTGAAAATCAATCTAAACATACTCAAAATAAAACATAATGATATAGCAGTACACAACTAAAACTAAGGGCTGCTCTAGAATCAAATTGAGAGGTTGGTCCTAACTTGGAAGCTCTGTCATCTCTGGCATGGTGCTGAATGCATTTGACCCAATGTTTTTCCATAGCAAATGGGTTTTTAACTCAACACTGCAATTCATTCAATACTTATTATTACATGGTTACGATTCATTAAATTAAACTCACACCCTGGGGGAAAAACCATCATCATGAATGTATTCTACGGCCAAACTACATAACAGATAGCAGATTGATGCAGCAAGTCGTATCCGAAACAAAACCTTCAGCATGTCAAGCATAAACATAAGTCAATGTATATGCCCCAAAAGTGGCGAGAAGAGGGTAGCACACATACCAAGCCCTAGGCAAGTTATCAAGAAAGCTATCTGATAGAGACACGGCCATAAGCATGGGCCGGCCTAGTTGAATCAGAGAAGAATCATCACTGACAGGCGAGATATCTGGAGTGTTATCATCTGAAGCTTTAGAGAATAGAACAAAAAGATAGATTCCATAGCCCACTATGGCAAGACCAGTGAGGCTCAATATGAAGTTCAAAAGCTTCAAAAGGCATTCCCAGCATCCCCTACATGCCATTCTCTACCTATAACGGTACTTCAGGACCTGTGCCCTATATATATTTCCTGCAGAAACATATAGGCACTTCCAGATAGTATCAAGAAATAAAATAAAACTACCACATCAATTATAACGCCTGCAGTTCAATTAAAATTTTAAGAACTAACTTAAACTGATATTCACAACTTAATGCATGTTTGAATTTCAGTTAGGAGAGGTTAAAAGTACTTTTACTTCCGAAGGTATAATTTCTTCTTTCTTCGCTTAGAGTATTGAAATTCAGAACTATTAACTGAAATTCGCAAAAATATTTTTTCAACCTTCATCCAAACATAGTCTTAATAGTTTAATTTGCAAAAGACAGAAAAACATTTCCAAAACGAAAAAAAGGAAAGCGATATCCCCCAATTATATAAAGAATAAACGCAATTTTATATCCCTAATTCCCTTTGATATAAAAATTGTGATATATTGCTCAGCTTGCAATCGAACCCTATTCGCATCAAAGTACAACTCAGAAAATTAACAAGTAAGAACTTCTGCGATTCCTTAAACGAGAAATAAACTACGAGAAGAGAGAGAGGGTCTAAGCTGCGAGAACTTACAGAAGAAATCGACGATTATGAATTGCCGAATCGGAATTCAAATTAAGTTATTCACACGGAAGAGAAGAGATGAGAAAAGAAGACGGAAAAAAATCACAGAACACAAAATGCCACTCTGGCATTGGATGAATCCTCTACAGCGTCGATAAAATTGTAGAAGATCTCTGCCTTTAGTTTTACGTACAGAATAATTAAGAAAGTCCTGTAAAAGTATTAACCGTTGGATATTTTTGAACGGTAGGATTCGCTTTGGGGTTTATTATCATACAGCCAACACCCGAAATTGCGGGCGATGGACATCCAATTAAATGACATGTTTGCCCTCCACTCTGGATCACTATAAACAGAGTTTTAATTTATTTATGATAAAAATAATTAAAAATAAAAGTCTTTGGAATGGAAGCATGGAAGAAACCTGTCTTTCATAATTTTAAGAATTCCGTTTAAAAGAAAAATAACAATTATATGTTTCTTATATTTTATGGAACTACTCATTTACAACCTTCTCATATTTACGATATTGTCTATGATAAAAAAAGATGCACGTGGTCTATTAAAAATATTATTTTAATTTGAATAAGCACATTCTTTTAATGCTGAAACGAGCACGTGTTCCACCTTCATTTAGAGATTTAATTTTCATCAATCTAGAACAGTGGTGTTTTCTTACAAAAGAAACACTTGAAAAACAAAAGTACTACACGAGAAAATTAATATATTTTAGATTTAATTTGAATATTTTAATATTAGTCCCAAGAACTTATAAAAAAAAAATTATTTTATATTTTATTTTTGTAAAAAAATTAGAACACTCTAAGTGTTCTNTCCACTTAGAACTCGCTAGGACAGGCTCTAACCTTGGCTCTGATACCATATTAGAAGTGGACTTTAAGCCTAACTCAACCCCACAAAACCGGCTTGTAAGGTGAGGTTTGCACCTCACTTATATATTATAATTTGGCCTTATCTCTTAGTCGATGTGGGACTTCCAACAGTCATTTTCCTTCTATCAAGATAATAGCATATTCTTCACTTCCTTATGGGGGCATTAATGTGGGCTCCCTGAACACCTAAAATTTTATAGTACCCCTTTCCACTTCCACTCGGGGTCATTCAAGTCTGCTTGGTTAAGCTTTTCATTGATATTTGCCTTGTCCACCCTCACCTTTGTTGACCAAAGTATCCCATCATCACAATTTTGTGTCAACCCAAAATGGTTTGCAATAATGATAGCTCATGATGCCTTCCTTCATCCTGGATCATTACCCATTTGTCTTTTAGTTAAAACCATATAACCTGGTCACCTAAATCTACCACCATACCATACCTAAAGGAGCCAACAAAGCCATTCCCAGAATCAAATCAAATCAACTACTTCTAGATCAATCGTTATTGAATCAATCAAGAAAGAAAAGTCCCAATCTTCAATTCCACTCCCATGCAAATACTATGAGTATGTCCTATGTGACCATCTCCAAGCCTAATGTTTAGGGTCCTAATGGTTGTGACTAGCCATCTCATTGCCTACACCATCTTTATGGCAACGTTAACTATCAATACCAAAACGACAACATGCTACACTCCCTATTCTCCTCCTTTGCATCATCATAGTCCATTAAGGTGACCATATTAGTATCACTGCAATCTCTCTCTTCTTCCTCCATGAGCATCACTCACAACTGCCTATTCAGGCACTAATGGTTGAAATGGTAAGGTCCACCAAACTTATAGCATAACAATGGATACAGTACATCATAGACATGTATAAAACTTTCACTAATATAGGCACATCCCTCTTCTTTTGGTGCTAGGTAAGTGGGGATATGATAAGAGATTTTCCATGAGGCATTCACATACATTTGAGAAATAGAACTAATATTATATTATATCTCAAAGACCAAGTACGGCTTCTCACCACACAAGAACATTGTTTCCGGAATTCCTAAATTTCAAAGTTGATTGTTACTAAACTAGCGTATTTCAAACTTCTTTGTCCTTGACCATTTCTCACTTCGTCTCTTTTGGGCTTCACTTTCTCAACTAAATATCTAATATGAATTGGTGTTAAACTGTACTTTTATTATCTTGGTTCGAAATGAAGTCCACTAGCATACCCATATAATGTCATTTCTTAACAATCAAGAAGCATCACAAAAACGTTGGCTAACGAGCTGGATCTTAAAATCTAGTATCCAAGCAAGGGGGAGGTAGGGGCAGGGCAATCCTAATCTCGTTTGATGACTCGCAAGTTACTACCATGAATCTATTAGCAGGATGGTGGTAATAATCAATTCATTTTCCTTGTCTTCTATGTATCTAGATGTTTCTATCAATAAAAAACAGTGTATTCTCCTTATCAAGAACTCAATCATTCTCAATCTGTTATTGACTCAATCATACAATGGATAACTTGATTATAATCCTAGAGACTATTATCTGTGGCCAATAAGGACACGCACAAAGAAACAAGTCGACAAAACAATAGAGGAATGTCAATCATACAACTTCTTGCTTACCTGAAAGATGCCAATTCCGAGAGCAACCCATCTCACAATATTCCAATTCTCACTCAGAAATCCATATATTGCATCAAAATCTCCAGTTTTATCTTTCGGAATTTCCTGAATGGAACATATTATAAATGAGAAATACATATTTAATTTCAGATTACAAATTACCAAAGACAATTTTACTTACTTCTTTCCAGTTTTTGTCAAAGAATATAAAGGCTGCACATCCCAGCTCTACCAAGATCAACAATGCCACCAAAATTGAATACTTCGTTCACTTAAGGAAATTAATAACAAATCCTTTGATCAGTACAGATTAATGCATGTATATATGTACAGACACACACTATGAGAGAAGAGCAGAAGCTTAAAATCGTGTTTTCTTTGTATATTAGTGGAAATTTATAATATCATGAAATACTTTTAACCGTAGCATAAGACATTCTAATAGGATACACAGCTCAGGCAGCATCCATTCCTTGTTGCAGCTCCAATACATCCAAAACAAGAAATAAGAAAGAGGACTACTCCCACACCAATAAATAAGAAAATAAACCTGCAGAATACGAAATAAAGAATTAGATTGAGAATGTTCTTTATCAATTTCAAAAAAAACTAAATCATATTTGTTGTGTGTATACTAACTATACCACAAAACCAAAAACGAAACAGTTTATCATATAAAAATAAATGTAAAACGAGTTATTACTCAAGAATGAATAAAATAAGAGAAAAACAGGACAAAATACCTTTGGTATGTTATTGGTCTTTTTTTTTCTCACATAAATACATTGTTCAGTAAAAGATACACTACACCAGAAAAAATATTAGTTAATTCAAATTTTCACTCTGTGCACCATTCTAGAAAGTGCATAAAGTTTATTATAAGTTTTTTTTCTTAATCGGTGACGAGAATGATCAATTACGGATTAACTACATAATTGGATTCCAACAATACTTTAACCATGAGGCTATGATTTATCGGTCACGAAAGTTCACCTTGAAAATCAATCTAAACATACTCAAAATAAAACATAATGATATAGCAGTACACAACTAAAACTAAGGGCTGCTCTAGAATCAAATTGAGAGGTTGGTCCTAACTTGGAAGCTCTGTCATCTCTGGCATGGTGCTGAATGCATTTGACCCAATGTTTTTCCATAGCAAATGGGTTTTTAACTCAACACTGCAATTCATTCAATACTTATTATTACATGGTTACGATTCATTAAATTAAACTCACACCCTGGGGGAAAAACCATCATCATGAATGTATTCTACGGCCAAACTACATAACAGATAGCAGATTGATGCAGCAAGTCGTATCCGAAACAAAACCTTCAGCATGTCAAGCATAAACATAAGTCAATGTATATGCCCCAAAAGTGGCGAGAAGAGGGTAGCACACATACCAAGCCCTAGGCAAGTTATCAAGAAAGCTATCTGATAGAGACACGGCCATAAGCATGGGCCGGCCTAGTTGAATCAGAGAAGAATCATCACTGACAGGCGAGATATCTGGAGTGTTATCATCTGAAGCTTTAGAGAATAGAACAAAAAGATAGATTCCATAGCCCACTATGGCAAGACCAGTGAGGCTCAATATGAAGTTCAAAAGCTTCAAAAGGCATTCCCAGCATCCCCTACATGCCATTCTCTACCTATAACGGTACTTCAGGACCTGTGCCCTATATATATTTCCTGCAGAAACATATAGGCACTTCCAGATAGTATCAAGAAATAAAATAAAACTACCACATCAATTATAACGCCTGCAGTTCAATTAAAATTTTAAGAACTAACTTAAACTGATATTCACAACTTAATGCATGTTTGAATTTCAGTTAGGAGAGGTTAAAAGTACTTTTACTTCCGAAGGTATAATTTCTTATTTCTTCGCTTAGAGTATTGAAATTCAGAACTATTAACTGAAATTCGCAAAAATATTTTTTCAACCTTCATCCAAACATAGTCTTAATAGTTTAATTTGCAAAAGACAGAAAAACATTTCCAAAACGAAAAAAAGGAAAGCGATATCCCCCAATTATATAAAGAATAAACGCAATTTTATATCCCTAATTCCCTTTGATATAAAAATTGTAATCGGACCCTATTCGCATCAAAGTACAACTCAGAAAATTAACAAGTAAGAACTTCTGCGATTCCTTAAACGAGAAATAAACTACGAGAAGAGAGAGGGTCTAAGCTGCGAGAACTTACAGAAGAAATCGACGATTATGAATTGCCGAAATCGGAATTCAAATTAAGTTATTCACACGGAAGAGAAGAGATGAGAAAAGAAGACGGAAAAAAATCACAGAACACAAAATGCCACTCTGGCATTGGATGAATCCTCTACAGCGTCGATAAAATTGTAGAAGATCTCTGCCTTTAGTTTTACGTACAGAATAATTAAGAAAGTCCTGTAAAAGTATTAACCGTTGGATATTTTTGAACGGTAGGATTCGCTTTGGGGTTTATTATCATACAGCCAACACCCGAAATTGCGGGCGATGGACATCCAATTAAATGACATGTTTGCCCTCCACTCTGGATCACTATAAACAGAGTTTTAATTTATTTATGATAAAAATAATTAAAAATAAAAGTCTTTGGAATGGAAGCATGGAAGAAACCTGTCTTTCATAATTTTAAGAATTCCGTTTAAAAGAAAAATAACAATTATATGTTTCTTATATTTTATGGAACTACTCATTTACAACCTTCTCATATTTACGATATTGTCTATGATAAAAAAAGATGCACGTGGTCTATTAAAAATATTATTTTAATTTGAATAAGCACATTCTTTTAATGCTGAAACGAGCACGTGTTCCACCTTCATTTAGAGATTTAATTTTCATCAATCTAGAACAGTGGTGTTTTCTTACAAAAGAAACACTTGAAAAACAAAAGTACTACACGAGAAAATTAATATATTTTAGATTTAATTTGAATATTTTAATATTAGTCCCAAGAACTTATAAAAAAAAAATTATTTTATATTTTATTTTTGTAAAAAAATTAGAACACTCTAAGTGTTCTTTATTAATTTATTTTTGCTGATAAAGAAAAACAACCAAAGAAATTTCAAATATCAGATGGGGCCTTAACTCATAATGTAAGGTTTTCAAGTCCTTTAAAATTACTCAGAAAATATTAACAGTGATGTTTAAAACATATATGTATTGGTTATATCAAAATTAACCTCTGGGTGATGAGTTTATGCAGCTTAATTTGGAATTGTTTCCAAAAGGTCAAAAGGAAAAATTGAGCAAAAAAACAGAAGGATGGCCCCAGCCAAACTGAGCTACAAAAACTGAATTCTATAAACTAAAAGCTGAAATAGCTGACTGAACAAATTGAATTGGGAAAGAACAAGTTAGCATCCACCAAGGCCTGGACTCATCTTTATTCACAACATTATCCTAACTACCCTTTTCCATTATTATTATCATACACCTCAACTAGGCCCCATCTCAACAGCACCAAGACACCCCAAATCCTGATATAAATTTCTACATGGACCCCAAAAACGGTCATTTCAACCCCCAAAATCATCATCAACTATTTTGAGCCTCAGCATTTTGTGCAAAGCTTCAACAAATGGAGCCATAAACTTCTGAGTGCTGTTTTTTAATATTTTAGTTTTGTGTTTTGGCAAGTGGGATGAATAGAATCAATGCATAGTCCATTTGTGCTGCATCATGGTGTTGTATGACCAGACCTGATATCACACCATATCATATCAACCATTAACAATCAGCAGCTTAAGAAGGGACAGCATGAGTGGTCGGTGTACGGTGGGGACCACAAGTTGTCCTTGTGGTCCCAACTTCCAGCCATATCTACCACTGTGGTTGCAACCTGAAGGGAATTTGAGAAAAAAAAAATAACTACAATACTCAACAGGGAGTTGATATGTGAATCAACAGAGCAGCCCCATCATCATCATCATCTGTGGGAGCCGGTGGTGGGGTCATTGGTACACGTCAGCAGGGTTTTGGAGCAGAAGAACCCTTGTTGCCAAGAGGGATGCTAGATATGCCTTGTTTGGAGAGCTCAGCTAACACACTATCCGTGGAAGGAGCTTTGAGTCCTAAGGGCAATGGTAGCCATGGCTTGTTAATTGCTTCTTTCACAACCTTGTCTACCACCTCCTCTGCCTGCATGCATGCATGCATGGAACACACTGTATCAGGAACATTTCATTGTACGTTCATAACTCAAAACATTAAACAAGTCCATTAAGAAATGGCACATTAGAACAAGTGAGCAACCATGGCATTGAGCACTAGAACAACATTGGTCCATATCAAATTCAATATATGCGTGATCATACACATTTTTTCAACTAGAGAAAAATTTCATGATGACTTTGTCCGAGGAAAGTATTGCATTACCGGATGATGCTCAAAGGAACTACGCGGCATGCTGAATCTGTAATCCACTGGTTTAGGAGTGTGCAATCCAGGTATATTCTGCAGTTTCATAACAATATCTGATTAGCATCACTTTGACAGATAATTTAATTACTCTAAAGGGTAAATTACGCACATGTGGCTATATTACATAAACAAGTAGCATTGAAATGGAGTCAAATTAAGTTGTTGAAACTTACTTGATTGAAGTGAAAACCAGGAGCTTGAGGAGGTGGGAACAATGGGCATCCCCAAGCATCCACATGCATCTGAAACATCAAGTCACCGAATATCAAACTGCATAACATACCACAAAAAGCATATTTGATGATATGAAATAACATATATTCTGCTTTTATTCCAAATAAAAAGATTACCCCCGGATAAGGCTTCCAGTTCCAACTTTCTGTAGGATGCCACAAGGGGTACGCAGGAGGCCCCCAAATCTGTACAGCAGCTGTTTGACTTCCTGGTTGTCCCCACATAGGATATATAGGTGCTGGAGAAATGGTTTGATTAGAGTGATAGGGAGGGTAGGCCATGATTGGTCTTTGCAGATAAAAATTCCTTTGCATTGCATCTCTTTGATTGTGCCATTTTCGATCTTCTTCCCCAGGTGCACTCTGTCTCCTGTGCATTCTATATTTCTGTTCAACATAAAGTTGTTACTTGATCTTACAACATGATTTTTCTTCACTACCAGAAAGATTTTGAAAATAAAATAGTCATTTTATGTTGCAGCATTGGGATAGAAACTATAGCCAGAAGTAAAATAAGAACCTGAAGATGGCTTGCCACATTGTGCCTTGTCAATCCTTCCACTTTCATTATCTCCAATATTCTAGAAGGAATGGCTTGATCAATACCTAGTTGTTCAACTGCCTTCACAAAATTTTTATGCAGCTCGGGCGTCCAGTCTACCTGAATCTAAAATCACGTACAATGACTGTTTTCAGATAATCATACAAGGATATCATTTTGCACAACCGTAAAAAATGTTATGGAGAAAAATAAGGATAAGCAACAAACAACACAAGATTTACTAAGACTCTCTGACAACAAATCCAAGTGTTTCAGGTGAAAAACAGTTCATGGATAAGATGTAGTTGAAATGCAGATCAGCAGTTACAGATCCAAGCTCCACAATTTTGTAAACAGGCCAACACATTATATTTAAAACAGTACACAAGGAATAGAGATGATGATAAGAGCTAGCCATGCGATTCTATCAAGCTATTTCAGTAGCGAAATCCCATTGGAAGTGTACCTTCTAAGATTGACAATCATGAAGCAGTTAATATTTGACAATCTCTTGTACATGTTTTCTTTAACAATTCAAAGCATGCAGCTACAACGTGTTAAAAACACAGACAGGTTAAATAAATTTTTGAAATAATTTGTAGTTACATGTGCCAAACTAGTGTCATTGATATAAACTACATGAACATGAGTAAGAAAATGTTAAAGGGAAAGAATGAAGAGCATAGTATCATTAGTGTTAATGTTAATGTTGGTATTTCCCANTTTTGAACGGTAGGATTCGCTTTGGGGTTTATTATCATACAGCCAACACCCGAAATTGCGGGCGATGGACATCCAATTAAATGACATGTTTGCCCTCCACTCTGGATCACTATAAACAGAGTTTTAATTTATTTATGATAAAAATAATTAAAAATAAAAGTCTTTGGAATGGAAGCATGGAAGAAACCTGTCTTTCATAATTTTAAGAATTCCGTTTAAAAGAAAAATAACAATTATATGTTTCTTATATTTTATGGAACTACTCATTTACAACCTTCTCATATTTACGATATTGTCTATGATAAAAAAAGATGCACGTGGTCTATTAAAAATATTATTTTAATTTGAATAAGCACATTCTTTTAATGCTGAAACGAGCACGTGTTCCACCTTCATTTAGAGATTTAATTTTCATCAATCTAGAACAGTGGTGTTTTCTTACAAAAGAAACACTTGAAAAACAAAAGTACTACACGAGAAAATTAATATATTTTAGATTTAATTTGAATATTTTAATATTAGTCCCAAGAACTTATAAAAAAAAAATTATTTTATATTTTATTTTTGTAAAAAAATTAGAACACTCTAAGTGTTCTTTATTAATTTATTTTTGCTGATAAAGAAAAACAACCAAAGAAATTTCAAATATCAGATGGGGCCTTAACTCATAATGTAAGGTTTTCAAGTCCTTTAAAATTACTCAGAAAATATTAACAGTGATGTTTAAAACATATATGTATTGGTTATATCAAAATTAACCTCTGGGTGATGAGTTTATGCAGCTTAATTTGGAATTGTTTCCAAAAGGTCAAAAGGAAAAATTGAGCAAAAAAACAGAAGGATGGCCCCAGCCAAACTGAGCTACAAAAACTGAATTCTATTAACTAAAAGCTGAAATAGCTGACTGAACAAATTGAATTGGGAAAGAACAAGTTAGCATCCACCAAGGCCTGGACTCATCTTTATTCACAACATTATCCTAACTACCCTTTTCCATTATTATTATCATACACCTCAACTAGGCCCCATCTCAACAGCACCAAGACACCCCAAATCCTGATATAAATTTCTACATGGACCCCAAAAACGGTCATTTCAACCCCCAAAATCATCATCAACTATTTTGAGCCTCAGCATTTTGTGCAAAGCTTCAACAAATGGAGCCATAAACTTCTGAGTGCTGTTTTTTAATATTTTAGTTTTGTGTTTTGGCAAGTGGGATGAATAGAATCAATGCATAGTCCATTTGTGCTGCATCATGGTGTTGTATGACCAGACCTGATATCACACCATATCATATCAACCATTAACAATCAGCAGCTTAAGAAGGGACAGCATGAGTGGTCGGTGTACGGTGGGGACCACAAGTTGTCCTTGTGGTCCCAACTTCCAGCCATATCTACCACTGTGGTTGCAACCTGAAGGGAATTTGAGAAAAAAAAAATAACTACAATACTCAACAGGGAGTTGATATGTGAATCAACAGAGCAGCCCCATCATCATCATCATCATCTGTGGGAGCCGGTGGTGGGGTCATTGGTACACGTCAGCAGGGTTTTGGAGCAGAAGAACCCTTGTTGCCAAGAGGGATGCTAGATATGCCTTGTTTGGAGAGCTCAGCTAACACACTATCCGTGGAAGGAGCTTTGAGTCCTAAGGGCAATGGTAGCCATGGCTTGTTAATTGCTTCTTTCACAACCTTGTCTACCACCTCCTCTGCCTGCATGCATGCATGCATGGAACACACTGTATCAGGAACATTTCATTGTACGTTCATAACTCAAAACATTAAACAAGTCCATTAAGAAATGGCACATTAGAACAAGTGAGCAACCATGGCATTGAGCACTAGAACAACATTGGTCCATATCAAATTCAATATATGCGTGATCATACACATTTTTTCAACTAGAGAAAAATTTCATGATGACTTTGTCCGAGGAAAGTATTGCATTACCGGATGATGCTCAAAGGAACTACGCGGCATGCTGAATCTGTAATCCACTGGTTTAGGAGTGTGCAATCCAGGTATATTCTGCAGTTTCATAACAATATCTGATTAGCATCACTTTGACAGATAATTTAATTACTCTAAAGGGTAAATTACGCACATGTGGCTATATTACATAAACAAGTAGCATTGAAATGGAGTCAAATTAAGTTGTTGAAACTTACTTGATTGAAGTGAAAACCAGGAGCTTGAGGAGGTGGGAACAATGGGCATCCCCAAGCATCCACATGCATCTGAAACATCAAGTCACCGAATATCAAACTGCATAACATACCACAAAAAGCATATTTGATGATATGAAATAACATATATTCTGCTTTTATTCCAAATAAAAAGATTACCCCCGGATAAGGCTTCCAGTTCCAACTTTCTGTAGGATGCCACAAGGGGTACGCAGGAGGCCCCCAAATCTGTACAGCAGCTGTTTGACTTCCTGGTTGTCCCCACATAGGATATATAGGTGCTGGAGAAATGGTTTGATTAGAGTGATAGGGAGGGTAGGCCATGATTGGTCTTTGCAGATAAAAATTCCTTTGCATTGCATCTCTTTGATTGTGCCATTTTCGATCTTCTTCCCCAGGTGCACTCTGTCTCCTGTGCATTCTATATTTCTGTTCAACATAAAGTTGTTACTTGATCTTACAACATGATTTTTCTTCACTACCAGAAAGATTTTGAAAATAAAATAGTCATTTTATGTTGCAGCATTGGGATAGAAACTATAGCCAGAAGTAAAATAAGAACCTGAAGATGGCTTGCCACATTGTGCCTTGTCAATCCTTCCACTTTCATTATCTCCAATATTCTAGAAGGAATGGCTTGATCAATACCTAGTTGTTCAACTGCCTTCACAAAATTTTTATGCAGCTCGGGCGTCCAGTCTACCTGAATCAAAAATCACGTACAATGACTGTTTTCAGATAATCATACAAGGATATCATTTTGCACAACCGTAAAAAATGTTATGGAGAAAAATAAGGATAAGCAACAAACAACACAAGATTTACTAAGACTCTCTGACAACAAATCCAAGTGTTTCAGGTGAAAAACAGTTCATGGATAAGATGTAGTTGAAATGCAGATCAGCAGTTACAGATCCAAGCTCCACAATTTTGTAAACAGGCCAACACATTATATTTAAAACAGTACACAAGGAATAGAGATGATGATAAGAGCTAGCCATGCGATTCTATCAAGCTATTTCAGTAGCGAAATCCCATTGGAAGTGTACCTTCTAAGATTGACAATCATGAAGCAGTTAATATTTGACAATCTCTTGTACATGTTTTCTTTAACAATTCAAAGCATGCAGCTACAACGTGTTAAAAACACAGACAGGTTAAATAAATTTTTGAAATAATTTGTAGTTACATGTGCCAAACTAGTGTCATTGATATAAACTACATGAACATGAGTAAGAAAATGTTAAAGGGAAAGAATGAAGAGCATAGTATCATTAGTGTTAATGTTAATGTTGGTATTTCCCAACTAAGCGAGAGGTTTACATTATATAAATATGCACATGATAAAATAACTAGTAGTCATGATTCAGCTTACTTTCATCTTCTTCCTGTTAGCTTTAATCTCACATGAATCATTAAAAACTCCCATCTTTTTTGGAGATGTATGACCATCTGCATTGCTGAGAAACTTTTCATTCTGTAGATTCAGTGAAACAGCTCTCTCGCCCTTGGAACCATTGGCAAAATCCTCTTCCTCCTTAATCAGAGTCTCCTCAGGTTCAGTTGGTTGAGGAGTACTTTCAGCATTCAAATTCTCACATGAAGTTTCGACTGATTTGCATTCCCCATCATGTTCTCCACTTTCTTTTTCTGTTGAGAAATTAGTCTGCTCATGGCAATCTCCATCATCCAATAACCGTGTCCCATGTTTCAATTGTGGGGTTGAAGGAGCCGGATATTTATCACATACAGATTGCTCATTGACATTATCACCAAATCTGGACACATTCTCTAAATCAATCGACATGGTTCTTTTATGAGTTTTATCTTGTTCATTGCCTGTTTGAAGCTGCAGCACTGATTCTACAGATTCTTTGACAGGTTTTAGTGACTCAGACAGACCATTTGCCCTAGAATTAAAGGCCTGCATGAAATTCAACAACATTAAAAACTACTTCATTCATTTCATTCTAACAATAAATGCCATGAAAATGTTGCCAAAACCAACAAACCTTGTGAACAACATGCTGCCAAATATTTTTGAGCTTGTCCTCAGAGAGTGGTTTACTGAGAAACTCAACGGCACCAAGCTTCAAAAGAAGAAAATATATCACAAATTAAAGCCGTATGCATCAACAATCATGATTGTACAATAAACCAAAATCTTACCGCAATGCACTTCATCGTGGTGTTCAGGCACTGGTTCTTTGAAATCACTGCATGAAAAATTGTAAGTAGTAAGTATCACTGGTTAGAAAATTTATAACAAGCACTAGATAGGCCTAAAGAAAACTTTGTTCTCATATTTCCTATGTCATGCTTCCTTGTCGATCATTCATCCATTAAATTGCTTAAAGTTTGAAAAGAAGTTTTCATTTTATAAAACCAAAGCAAGCAACAATCACAAAAAAAAAAAAGGAAATAGAGATTAAATAAAAAGAAACTTCAAGTATTACTAATTTCTATTACTCTAATAAGTGACAATTAAAATTGGTTTTGCAAGAAACAATAATTTTCCTTCTTTTGGGAATTAAATTTGAGTTGACCTGCAGACCAGACAGTTGACTGCAAACACCACCACAATGAAATTGTTGATGATAAAAAATACAAGAAATTAACCAGCAAATTCAGGCTTGTATTTGTGCTTACTAATGGTAGGCAAGTCCTTTGCATTCTCAAGAAATTTGAAACCTCCAAGGCTGCTGCTTGTACTCACCTACAATTCAGATCGAAGCCAGTGGTTACAAATCATCACATTACAAAGCAAAAAAGATCAATTCCAAGTTTAAGATGTACACATTGCCAAAGTGAGACAAACAGTGCCGAGATATTATTAGAGAAAAATGCACAAGTTATTATCAGCTTTTCACAAGGTGATAAATTATGTTTGGAATCACCTAATCATTATGCCAGAGAACTACCAACTTTCCGTATTCACCCCATTCTAAACTAGCATACTAAATAACATCCCTTTTTTGTTTACCTCTTGTTCAAATTTTACAACTATGACATGATGATTTATCGCTTATACTGAAAACAAAAGTTCATTACCTCCACTATGGCAACATGGAAGTCTTCAGGGCTACTTGAGACTGCTGACAAAGCTTCGTTCTCGTCATAGAAGGTAGAAACTGCACAGAAATTTTACATAAAAAATTGAATGAATAACAAGAATGTGCAGGAAACAAGGAAGAGTGTGGTAGTGGATGAAAAGAATGCTTTGAATGTAATTATGTCAGTCAAAGTATAATTAGGTTGGTGTCAACTGATTCATATTCTCTGAGAAATTAGAAGCCCATCAAAATCCAAATGCACCACCAAAAATAGAATAGATTCATTAGTCCATAAAGTCAGATAACAAAGCATTCCTTTATCCAAAATACCTTTGGAATTTGGACCACTTCCAGCTTTCAAAACGCTTAAGGGCATATAGCCTAAAGCGCAAATGAAAACTTTTGCACCTTAATAAACCATCTAGAGAAATACCACATATGCTAACATCAAGCATCAAAAAAGGAGGGCAAATCTAGACACATTTCAAATCTTCAATGAAATAAAATCCCATTCCACAATTTCCCAAAGAACCAAATAAGGGCTATCTAAAGCAGTGCCGCTTTACCAGATGCCATTCTATAAAATGGGGANTTAATATTTGACAATCTCTTGTACATGTTTTCTTTAACAATTCAAAGCATGCAGCTACAACGTGTTAAAAACACAGACAGGTTAAATAAATTTTTGAAATAATTTGTAGTTACATGTGCCAAACTAGTGTCATTGATATAAACTACATGAACATGAGTAAGAAAATGTTAAAGGGAAAGAATGAAGAGCATAGTATCATTAGTGTTAATGTTAATGTTGGTATTTCCCAACTAAGCGAGAGGTTTACATTATATAAATATGCACATGATAAAATAACTAGTAGTCATGATTCAGCTTACTTTCATCTTCTTCCTGTTAGCTTTAATCTCACATGAATCATTAAAAACTCCCATCTTTTTTGGAGATGTATGACCATCTGCATTGCTGAGAAACTTTTCATTCTGTAGATTCAGTGAAACAGCTCTCTCGCCCTTGGAACCATTGGCAAAATCCTCTTCCTCCTTAATCAGAGTCTCCTCAGGTTCAGTTGGTTGAGGAGTACTTTCAGCATTCAAATTCTCACATGAAGTTTCGACTGATTTGCATTCCCCATCATGTTCTCCACTTTCTTTTTCTGTTGAGAAATTAGTCTGCTCATGGCAATCTCCATCATCCAATAACCGTGTCCCATGTTTCAATTGTGGGGTTGAAGGAGCCGGATATTTATCACATACAGATTGCTCATTGACATTATCACCAAATCTGGACACATTCTCTAAATCAATCGACATGGTTCTTTTATGAGTTTTATCTTGTTCATTGCCTGTTTGAAGCTGCAGCACTGATTCTACAGATTCTTTGACAGGTTTTAGTGACTCAGACAGACCATTTGCCCTAGAATTAAAGGCCTGCATGAAATTCAACAACATTAAAAACTACTTCATTCATTTCATTCTAACAATAAATGCCATGAAAATGTTGCCAAAACCAACAAACCTTGTGAACAACATGCTGCCAAATATTTTTGAGCTTGTCCTCAGAGAGTGGTTTACTGAGAAACTCAACGGCACCAAGCTTCAAAAGAAGAAAATATATCACAAATTAAAGCCGTATGCATCAACAATCATGATTGTACAATAAACCAAAATCTTACCGCAATGCACTTCATCGTGGTGTTCAGGCACTGGTTCTTTGAAATCACTGCATGAAAAATTGTAAGTAGTAAGTATCACTGGTTAGAAAATTTATAACAAGCACTAGATAGGCCTAAAGAAAACTTTGTTCTCATATTTCCTATGTCATGCTTCCTTGTCGATCATTCATCCATTAAATTGCTTAAAGTTTGAAAAGAAGTTTTCATTTTATAAAACCAAAGCAAGCAACAATCACAAAAAAAAAAGAGGAAATAGAGATTAAATAAAAAGAAACTTCAAGTATTACTAATTTCTATTACTCTAATAAGTGACAATTAAAATTGGTTTTGCAAGAAACAATAATTTTCCTTCTTTTGGGAATTAAATTTGAGTTGACCTGCAGACCAGACAGTTGACTGCAAACACCACCACAATGAAATTGTTGATGATAAAAAATACAAGAAATTAACCAGCAAATTCAGGCTTGTATTTGTGCTTACTAATGGTAGGCAAGTCCTTTGCATTCTCAAGAAATTTGAAACCTCCAAGGCTGCTGCTTGTACTCACCTACAATTCAGATCGAAGCCAGTGGTTACAAATCATCACATTACAAAGCAAAAAAGATCAATTCCAAGTTTAAGATGTACACATTGCCAAAGTGAGACAAACAGTGCCGAGATATTATTAGAGAAAAATGCACAAGTTATTATCAGCTTTTCACAAGGTGATAAATTATGTTTGGAATCACCTAATCATTATGCCAGAGAACTACCAACTTTCCGTATTCACCCCATTCTAAACTAGCATACTAAATAACATCCCTTTTTTGTTTACCTCTTGTTCAAATTTTACAACTATGACATGATGATTTATCGCTTATACTGAAAACAAAAGTTCATTACCTCCACTATGGCAACATGGAAGTCTTCAGGGCTACTTGAGACTGCTGACAAAGCTTCGTTCTCGTCATAGAAGGTAGAAACTGCACAGAAATTTTACATAAAAAATTGAATGAATAACAAGAATGTGCAGGAAACAAGGAAGAGTGTGGTAGTGGATGAAAAGAATGCTTTGAATGTAATTATGTCAGTCAAAGTATAATTAGGTTGGTGTCAACTGATTCATATTCTCTGAGAATTTAGAAGCCCATCAAAATCCAAATGCACCACCAAAAATAGAATAGATTCATTAGTCCATAAAGTCAGATAACAAAGCATTCCTTTATCCAAAATACCTTTGGAATTTGGACCACTTCCAGCTTTCAAAACGCTTAAGGGCATATAGCCTAAAGCGCAAATGAAAACTTTTGCACCTTAATAAACCATCTAGAGAAATACCACATATGCTAACATCAAGCATCAAAAAAGGAGGGCAAATCTAGACACATTTCAAATCTTCAATGAAATAAAATCCCATTCCACAATTTCCCAAAGAACCAAATAAGGGCTATCTAAAGCAGTGCCGCTTTACCAGATGCCATTCTATAAAATGGGGACCAACTTTACCCACTAATTAAGGAAAGTGAGATTAGCTATGCCAAAGTTTCAAGAAGATGTGAAACATACCAAAAAAATATTAAAGGGATCCAAAAAGTCTCACCATGATAGTCCATGGCCTCAAGTTGTTCTCCTATTTCAGCAGCAGAACTTCTATCTCCGTCAAGTACAAGAACCCTGAGTCCCTTTGGAAAATCTTTCCATCCTTGTAAATCATTGGCAGTGCAAACCATAGCTGGTTTGGCATCGTCACTCAGCTCCCAACTGATGTAACAGATCAATGTTGACTTCGAACATAGAATCCCTTCTGCAAGATCCGTGAGATCACAAGCTTGAATTTGTTGAACGGAGCACAGAAAAGCAATGAAAAAAGTGAAGCAGAAAGTCCACAGAAACTTGAATTTGCTCACATGGTAAAAAGCTTTCAAAATGTGGAATGCTAACAAGACATCTAAAGTCAGAAGTCAAAACCATATCAAAGTTCAGTTCGAGAATCACAAGCTCTGATCGCTCATGAAACAGCTCTTAATTAAAAAAACAGAAGATTCGTACTCATTCTCCAACACATTTCCTCCAAAAAAGAAAGAAAATAAAAATATGTACTTCATACCATAAACTGTAAAGATCTCATTTACAAAAGAAATGAAACCTTCACAGAACAGCAAACAGACAAAGAAACAAGCAAGATCTCCAACTATCATAGCAGAACATGACAAGAAACTGGGCCAGACAGCAACAAAAAACCGTGAACCAACCCAGAAAATAAGTAAACAAAACAACCCAAAGTGGAAAACATGTCATGACATGCACACATATTATAATCTAAAAAAGGAGAAGAGAAAGCAAAACAAAACCAAACCAAACCAAAATAGCTGAATTCTCTAATTATGAACACATGAACAAGGGAGAATCAACATGCACAGTGAAAGTGGTTCTTTTCCAAGACTTTTCTTTTCTTCTACTACCTTGGCTGAAAGGAAATTGCCCCACCAACTCCTCTAACCAAAGTTGTGCACTTTCTCTTCCTATTTCATCGAAGACAAAGAAAGCACATAGAAAGGGAGAGGGAAGAGAAGAGAAGTGAGTAAGGGGGTTTAACTACGGTCGTTGAAGGGTGTCTGTGTGAATACTGAACAATTGCAATCGCTCCTTAACAACCACATAATATGCAGAAAAAAGAGTCAATTAACTATTCTGCCACAATTTCAAGGCTCCTATTCCAAATCTACCCTCATTTTTTTTACCACTTCTTCTGTCAAAATCTTACCTGCTATTTTCTATAATTTGAGTTCCAAATAAATACATTGTCTTGGACTTCATAAAGTTTGAAACTTTTTTTTCTTTACAATGGATCTCAGTGTTTTATTTATCTTGGAAGCGAGAACACTGTGTTCCCGTAAGATGGACTTTTTCTCTTTACTTCTTTCTTTCTGTATTGAATCATTATGACATTATCATACATTTCTTCATTTTCTTGTTTCAGCCATTGGTGCTACAGATTTTACTGACAAATAAAAATTGTTGAAAAATCTACTTCAATTGAATGGTCATTTTTTTTTTCTTGCAGTTTCAATACAGGTTTACCTTAGAACCATAAAAAAATACAAAAGTATATGGTAATAGTGAAAAAAAGTTAAATGGTATAAATTCATAAATCTATAAATAAAGCACTTTCAGAATACACTGCAATTAGTCATATGTACCACAGTTTATCATTATTGTTGTGTACCTACAATTAGAAATTGCTGAAAAATGTATATAATGGAAATATTCCTTATATGGGAACAATGCTAAACAGGGAGAGGGATAAGAATGTTAATTTTTCAGGCACTGACAAAAGTGCTTTTTAAGTCAAATGGTATCAAAATTTATTGCATAGAGAAAAACAACACATAGATAACTAAGTTTAAATCTTGGTAATATGTTAACCAAATGTCAGTACGGTAAAATGTCAAATTTCATAGTAAAAAAAGTACACACAAAATGCAAAATGTAGAAGTCAAGTTTAGTCCATAAAAGATCTATCTTAGTTCGTTTGTGAGACTTTAAAGTTAGGTAAATTTAGTATGCAAGTTTCTTATTAAGTTATTGATTTGCATCAAAGATATATTTTTCAAAATTTTTATTTGATCACTTTTTTTAAATTTTGAAACACAACTATATACTTTGCAAGAAATAAAAGGGAAAATACACAAGTTGAATATTTTTCCTTTTAAAATCATATAAATTTGTTGAAATAATAACTTAATTAGATGTGGATCGATTTCCAAATTAAGAAGAAATTGGATTACATAATCATAACCATCAATTATATAATAATACAAAATTAACTATGTGCCCATTAGTTCACTAAAAAAATATAAGACGTATTTTAATTTGTTTAATTAATATGTAGTTTGTGCAGATCAATGATTGGGACAAACTAATCTGCATAGTCTCCAACAGAATAATTTTAGTCAAGATATGCAAATGACATTTAGTTTAAAAAATTATTAAGTAAAACCAAATACTAAAGGTTTTTATGTTAAATTCAAGTACAACATCTATAATGTCTACCATTTCTGGTAATCTTGATGAAGAACAAATTCAACATTGAGTATTTTTGTTCACATTCTATATGTATGTTAGTTGAAAGATAATTATGTTGGAAGTATGGGCATTTGATTTATTTATTTTTTGATAAAAGTGTAAAAAGCTACTATTAATTATGATGATTACACAACATTTAATTAGCAATCACATTGGTATAAAGGGTGTGTTGATTACCAACTCCAAAAAGGTAGAAAAGAGAATATTTTTGGCTGGGCAAAATGTCTCCTGAAAGACAATAATAGCTAATTACCTTTTACTAAATCAATGAAACAATAATTGCCAAAAAGAAAATTGACATGACTTTTGACCTTCCTCAATAGTGTTTTGCCATCATATTTCGTCCCATGTGATGCATCATGTACTATTTTAGTCACTTTCCTTGTAAAAATGCCACCACACATGTAATAAGTCTTAAAGTGGGTTACAATTATATAACTTTTTTGGATTAATGATTTATCACCGTTATTTTAATAATAACATTTCACATAATATTTTAAATAATAAAGTTTCATAACTTATTTCTTCCATTTTTTTTCTAGGGTATAGTTATTATTTGTAAAAAATGTAATTGCTTCTTTTTCCTTGAAGAATATAACCATTTAACTTATTCTACGTAATTAAGGTAATTCACAATGTTTTGTCAATTTGGCTAAATAAAATAAAATTGCTAGTGTTTAAAAAAGAAAAGTAAAACAATTAAAAACTTAAAAAATAATAAGAAAAGACAAGCAACTTAAACTTAGGGGAGCCAAATACTTAATAAGCAATTATAAAGAATAATGATGCATGCATATAATTAAATTGAAAATTAGATGCTTGAACAATCAAATGTTTGTGTATTCTTTAATATATATATATATATATATATATATATATATAATACATCCACATAAATTATTTGGAGACATCTAGTCAATTTGTGTCATTTTTGTATATTTCTTTTCATAGCATCATATCATAAAATTGATAAAATCTTTAGTTGGATATGATTTGAGTATTATCTATCTTTTCTAATAATTAAGAAGTGGGGTAAGTAAATATAAAACCTGCTTTTATGGAATATTTTATGTAAATTGCAGTGTATACAATCTTGGTAATGATATATAATTTAGAAGAAGGACATTTTTGTAATTGAATGACTGGTACTTGCTGAGTTGCTTAAACATGTGTATGAATTAGATTGTAAGGTAGTTGTAGGTAGTAATCAAATGCACTGAATTCCACTCCACTTATTATTATAGCAACCACTCACAACTTTATAATTGTATTGTAACTCAAGTTTTAACAAACAAAAAATTGTAGCAATGTTAGTTTTACTATTTTAAGATTAGAGATTAAACTCGTTTAATTAACTTAACTAAAAGCCCATTTGATTTTTTTTTTATATATTTCTAATTCAATAAAGCATTTTAAAATCATTATTGTCATTTTTTCAGTGTGTGAAGTGGTAATTGTACAGTACTTTTTTGGTAAGACTTGAGAAAAGTTGCAAGGTGTTCATGATTTATGTTACAAAGTGATGACAATTTAGTCACATGGACTTGTCAGTGTCACAACTACCTACAAAAAACTAGAAGAAAAATATTCATAAACGGTGAAAAATATATGTTCTGGTTTACTTAGTGGTATTTACTCTCTGTTGTCTAGGTATATATGTATTATTTTCAAAAACTCAATAATACTTATTATTTTCGAAACAATTTTTTTTGGCACATACTCATCAAGAGAATAAGAATAAGAGGCTGAATAAAATTCACCCAAATTGATAAATTTTAGTCAAATTCAATTAACAATGGAAAATGTTTAATTCTTCCATTATTTTTATTGTCTAAATACTAATAATTCCTTTGACAATGAACTTAAAAATCATCTGTGTACAATATTTACTAGATAAAACTAGCATTATCATCCTATAAAAAATATACTTATTTTTTAAATTATTGACAAAAATTTATCGATAAAATAAAATTTATTAATAAATTTAACTGTTTTAACTAAGAATATAAATATATATTTTTTAATAAAATTTATTGATAAATTAAAATTTTTATTATCGATAAAAATATTTATTAGTAATCCATTTATTGATAATTTAAATTTTTATTATTGACATTTTTTTTATGAATTTTGTTTATATAATAAACATTAAAGTTTTTGTTGTGGATTTTTGACGATGTTACGATAAAATCCGTTGGTAATTATTATTATATTTTAATTTGTTGATAATATTTTTTTTTAATTTATTGGTAATTGATTCATTTTAAAATCTATTAGTAAAATAGACATAAAATTTTCTTCTAATTTTAGCAAAATATTTGTTACAAATTAATTAGGGATGAATATAAAAAGGAAATGAAAAAGAAGAAAAAAAGGAGGAGAAAATGATGAAGAATGAAAAACAAAAGTAATTATACAACGTTAAATATCAATGGAGACAACGAAGATCATAATGACGAAGTTATATGAGAAGAAAGATGAAGAAAATAAACTAGAGATGAGAATAGTGGGAAGAAGAATAACGATGAAGAAAAAGAAAAACTGAATTAATAAATAATTATAGACATATTTTGATATTTTGATAGGTTGATAGTTGGTAATTATTGATGATTCTTTTTTATATATAAATAAAAGAATTTGACAATAAGTTTTTTTACCAGTGACTTACAATTACTAACAAATTTTATCCATTAACAAATCTTTTATATTTTTGGCAATACTTTTTAGAAGTTGTTGAAAGCTAAAAATAATTGAACATATTTGGAATTCTGAAAATATATACTTTTGAAGACAAGAACATAACAGGAAAAACAGTGTTAGAAAGTGTTTAACTGAGGAAACAAAACCATCGCCCACAGTTTGTAAGGGTACATGAAAACAAAGTGCTTGGTTTGTTGTGTAGTCATTGGTTTTCTTTTTATCTTGTAGGTAGTGGAAGTCCTACAAACTAAATCATACCATAGATCTTTGTCTGCTCTACACCCTCTTGTCACTGTTCATCAATATAGTCAATTTCTCAATCATTTTCACTGTTTTCAAATCCCAGACGTTCAAGGAGCATTTGCAAAACACCCAGAATTCAAAATGCAGCCTAATTAAGGAACTTGTCCTTGTCCTATCATATATATTTGGTTTAGTGCTAGTAATGATTTCTACTGTGTGGAAACATGCTATGCTTAATCACATATTCAACTTACGTTATTGAGTAAAAGAACCTTTGTTGTTTGGTTGATTTTACTGTCACATCATTACCTTCCTGCTTTTCATTCTGATCATGATTTCAACTTCTTTTTGCCTCTTTGCTTGAGAACCACATTTCATTTCTCATTGCCAACCTCAGATTTTTTTTATTAATCTTGTGTTTGCTTTCAATTTTGTTTGTTTCAAAATACTTAATTTTTTTGGAAACAATTCAAAATAGTTAAATTTGAAAGTGACAGTAATAAATAGCTCAAAGAAAAAAACGTGACTGCAGTGGTAATAGTGTGAATGGATCAAAAGGTTGAGGTGCGTGGCAGAATTAATTAAACACCTTCATGCATGTGTAATTAAGGTGACACGTGTCATAACCTAAAACACAAAAACAAAACGCCCACCGTGGGGCTCGAACCCACGACCACAAGGTTAAGAGCCTTGCGCTCTACCAACTGAGCTAGACGGGCTATTGTTTATTCCATTTGTACTTTACATTTTAATCTAAATTTATCCGAAATTTAGTAAAGAATAAAGTGAAATATTATACACAAAAAACATTGTTTGCTTAAAGTCCCCAGTTAACTTTATTTTTTGGTAGCATAATAAAACGTGTAGAAGAATAATGTAGTCATTAGAAGACTGTTTTATTAGTGATGTACAGATATTATACTGTGTTTAATCTCTTTTTTGAAACTAACCTTGGTTAAAAATTAATAGAAAAAACCTCTTCTGAATTATTAGCTTATTACAGAGAAACAAATTTTCGAGTGGAAAGGAGGTACAAATATTCGAAGGTTACCTCATTTTTAATGATAGAAGAGTTAAAATTATTAAGTTGAGTAGCCTGAATGGAGTGTACATTTGTTAAAAGTATAATAACAAAACATCTTAAGTATTATGGGTTGCATTTTTGTGATAAGTTAACTGAAAAAAATGTGTAGATAATAAAATGAATGTTTGGGTTTGTATAAAATTAATGAGTCCATGTTGTACATGTAATTTGCACTAATTTTAATATTTTAAGATACATAAAAAAAAATACTTTATCAAAATCAGAGTAACTTGAAAGGTCAGAAGACATGACAGAAAAACCAATAAAGAAACCAAATTCAAAATTAAGGCACAGATGGTATATGCAATCTCTAGTTACATAGTAGCAGATTCATATGCCTTAACCCTACAACAATATCATATATGCTTTAATATATTGGATTATCTTACAAAAAGAAAAAAAGCGTTCTTAAATCTAGTTAACATAACTACATTACTAGTTTGTTAGGCGTCAACTGAATATAAAGGAGTTTAAAGGGCTCCATTTTCCTGCCTAAGCTATAAGCAGGTTTCATGATAAGCATGCATGAAACAACACTTGTTTTGGTAAATGCTAGATAAGAAATGAAGGTCACACTAACAACCGATGCCGCATATATTGCCCTCTGCTGCTGTAAACATAGACAAGATAAGCTTTACCCAGCTTTCTTTGTACAAAGAAGGTAAAACAAGACTTCAGGGAAAACTCGAGTTTATGCCATCATAATTTACAAGGGAAAGTACTGGTCACTGTTACGAGGTGTCTTCAAATCAAAAAAGTGGTTCCACAGGCTCTACAACAAATCAATTTTATTTCATCAGGAAACAAGCATAATTCTAAAACAGATATTAGTAAGACAACCACTGACCTGTTTTCACTTCAGGATGTTGCTGATGATTCATATCCATGCTTTCCTTGACCCTTGTTTTGCTTGCGTCTCTTCTTCTCTTCATCTTTGAGACGCTCAAAGAGCCTTCAACTGTACAATATGAGGTAAACAAAAATATAAATCACCAAAAATACTTAATACAAGGAACGAGAATGTTGGCCGAAAAGCCTGACTGGCAGTACTTCATCAGAATTTTATCAGTATATTAAATTTCTTGTGTTACTGAACGGAATAGATTTCATGATATTGCCAGCACACCCATGTACCTTGCCATTCCCATACCACTTTCGATTCACCCTTCACCAACTTTGGATAGCAATCTATTCGCGAATCTTCTTGAACCAATTCTTCTACCTGTAATCCCAAAAAAGTTATTACAAGATCAGTCATTCATTTAGTTAATTTAAAAACCCATTGACATTTAACTTCAATTACGGGTCAAAAGTGATTACACCAACAGCGCTGTCAAATATAGTCCGGGTCAAAGATTAATCAATCCTAAGTGGAACGAAAAAGAAAGAATAACCAATTTTGCTGATTTACAAGGACATGTCCCAAGAAAGTATGACTTCGTCCTTACGGAATCCTCAAGAATGGCATATACAATGTCATTTAAAATTTAACTTATGTTACAAATCAATAGGCATCCCAATTGTATCAAACTGTAATATTTGAATCGTGAATAATAAGATTCTAATAACTATGATGCAGTCAGCTAATCCAGACAAAATGAATTAGCTTGTTCTGCTTCGTTGTTACGATAAAATAGGGCAATCAAAATAGCTCCGAAACTACCTTTCTCCATAATAAAGGGTTCTTCCGTTCTCTTGGCAAAAGCAGGTGATCACGTAACCTAGAAGCAACAAACCAGGGTTCACATTCACCATTTGCATTCTTTGACGTCAATGCATTCTCTTCAAGTATTTCGCAGACCTAAAAGATCAATAACAAAGAAATTTTGAACAGATACAGAATTATAATAAAGATGCAATTAGTTATTCAGTCAAAAAAACCTGTGCACAGCAGATATAAATGTAACTGTAGTTAATGGGAGCCAAAAGTCACATTTTTTATCTATTTATTTGAAAAACACATTTCAACTGATTTTACCATCTGAGTATCTGCATTGATCAGAACCTTAGTTTATCCAAACTCCACTATAAAAACTAGGGTGTATGAATATTCTTCACTCATCTAAACCTACAGAACTATAATATATAAAATTGGGGCATTTGAACCCTATGGTCACTGTACACAGAACTACCTTCTAAATAAATGTAATATTTTGTGACCTCAATTAACATAAGCATTCTATTACAATATATTTGTGAGCTTCCATATATATGTGTGTGCCTATGCATGCATGTATGTATACTCACTCTTAATCAAAGGCATCACCCACAACAACTTAAAATCACACTTGTTGAACTAACGGGTGAAATAATCAACGAAGCATGTAATAATCCCTTGTGCCTGTGCCTCTGGGTGTGTCCCACTATACCTTATCATAAAGCTCCTCAATTCTTCTTGACATTGATAGTTTCCGTCGAACACTCCAGAACAAAGCTGTGCATCCAACAAGCTGTTAAATCTCAAAAACAATCAACATAGTTTACTTACCCATGCAGAAATATATGCATTAAAGTATGTCTTTAGGAAACGGATACCATGGCACAAATGGGCAAAACAAGTAGAATATGCTGAGAGATCCACTGACGAATACGGCAGGAATATGGCTTGTAATGCACTGCCCACAGATCTGGACACTTAAACTCCTTCATCCTGTATGAGAGATAACTCGTATGTGACATCCTAAGTAGAAATTTTAACCTCTAAGGAAACATGTTCTAACGGCCACTTTTGACTTGATTAAAATGGAACAGAGATGATATATACCCATGAGAGTTGTTTAATCTCGTCTCCAATAATTGCCCCATTGTTTCAACTGCCCTTTGTTTTGTATAATTATGAAGAGCATTGTCCACTTTGACATTTCCCACGGGCTCAAAATAATTCAACAAAACATCCTCACGAACCTGAGATGGGAATACAAAAGGGAAGTTGAAATCAGCAGCACTAATAACAACTCGAACAATAACGTATACAGCCAAGCATAAATAAATACAAGTAAACTGCAAAATCCAAGGGCTAAAAATGAGAGAACAAACCCAAATTGGTCCGGTTCCACTGCACAAAAATTGAGCATATCCCTCACACAAGTGATGTTCCACTCTCTCCACCTGTGGTCAAAGGCCAATCAGAAAGATATAACAAAATGCAAAAGAACAACGAAAAAATAATAGACTGTATTTAGTTCCAAGAAATAGTAAGTCACTACTCAAATCAAAATATAGAGACATACAATCTTTCGAGCTGATTCACTGATATCTCCGTCTTCTAGACACAAGTTCCCATGTCTTTGGTAACCCTGAAGGCATTCCAACTTTCCATCGTTGCATTCTCCATTACTGGGACAAGGTTCACAAACATCTGTAACAATTCCCAGTCAGTAGAAAACCTCACAAGATGCATATAGTCTGCAAAATCCTACACGTTGAGACTACAAAATTTGATTGATAATACAAGGCCCCAGAGAATGAACTCCCCAAAAAATAATCAGAAGTAATACGAAGCAGACAAACATTGATTAAAGCTTGAATTAGAAAGTAATCTGCATCCTACCAAAATAAATAAAAGAACAAAACAATGTATAACAACAAGAATCAAATTCAAATTCAAATATCAAATGAAACCCCATACAAAACGCCACGGCATATTTCAAAGAAAAACAAAAGGAAATCAGATGAATTTGTTCATCATTGTTAGCAACAACTATCAACTGCTCTGTCCTCATAATATTTAGCCCTGAAAAGAAGGCTGTCTCACTCTAATTTTCTTTTTCCTTTTTAGCGGCATTCATTCCCTCTCTCTATTACGCATTGTTCTTTAACCTAGAAAAGGAAAACGGCACAATTCAAATAAACAAAATAGGGAAAACGAAATAAAATAAAATAAAATTATCCAGAAAATACACGGAGACAAGGCATGTGCAATTCATTATTCATAGCACAGGAAATTACTAAATCAGAGTTAAATTGAACAACCAAAAACCAGAGGCTTGTTGAGTTGCAACGTTAGTTGGAAGAAGATGACAATAAATGAATAACTCAACACCCAGAACAGAATCATATGAAATGCACGAAAATCACGACACATAAAAACAACAAAACAGAAGCAAATGAAATAGAAAGAGAGGGAGAGACCAGGAAAGTAATCGGAGGAGTGGAAATTGGTGTCGCAAAAGGGTTTGGAAGGAGGTTGAAGGAGAGAGGTAAATAGGAAATTGCAGGTCCATGCAACTAGCGATGCGAGTGCGAGCACGAGAACCAATCTCGGTAAGTCGTGTTTGGATGGTAACAAATTCTGAGGGGGNCAAAAATATAAATCACCAAAAATACTTAATACAAGGAACGAGAATGTTGGCCGAAAAGCCTGACTGGCAGTACTTCATCAGAATTTTATCAGTATATTAAATTTCTTGTGTTACTGAACGGAATAGATTTCATGATATTGCCAGCACACCCATGTACCTTGCCATTCCCATACCACTTTCGATTCACCCTTCACCAACTTTGGATAGCAATCTATTCGCGAATCTTCTTGAACCAATTCTTCTACCTGTAATCCCAAAAAAGTTATTACAAGATCAGTCATTCATTTAGTTAATTTAAAAACCCATTGACATTTAACTTCAATTACGGGTCAAAAGTGATTACACCAACAGCGCTGTCAAATATAGTCCGGGTCAAAGATTAATCAATCCTAAGTGGAACGAAAAAGAAAGAATAACCAATTTTGCTGATTTACAAGGACATGTCCCAAGAAAGTATGACTTCGTCCTTACGGAATCCTCAAGAATGGCATATACAATGTCATTTAAAATTTAACTTATGTTACAAATCAATAGGCATCCCAATTGTATCAAACTGTAATATTTGAATCGTGAATAATAAGATTCTAATAACTATGATGCAGTCAGCTAATCCAGACAAAATGAATTAGCTTGTTCTGCTTCGTTGTTACGATAAAATAGGGCAATCAAAATAGCTCCGAAACTACCTTTCTCCATAATAAAGGGTTCTTCCGTTCTCTTGGCAAAAGCAGGTGATCACGTAACCTAGAAGCAACAAACCAGGGTTCACATTCACCATTTGCAGTCTTTGACGTCAATGCATTCTCTTCAAGTATTTCGCAGACCTAAAAGATCAATAACAAAGAAATTTTGAACAGATACAGAATTATAATAAAGATGCAATTAGTTATTCAGTCAAAAAAACCTGTGCACAGCAGATATAAATGTAACTGTAGTTAATGGGAGCCAAAAGTCACATTTTTTATCTATTTATTTGAAAAACACATTTCAACTGATTTTACCATCTGAGTATCTGCATTGATCAGAACCTTAGTTTATCCAAACTCCACTATAAAAACTAGGGCGTATGAATATTCTTCACTCATCTAAACCTACAGAACTATAATATATAAAATTGGGGCATTTGAACCCTATGGTCACTGTACACAGAACTACCTTCTAAATAAATGTAATATTTTGTGACCTCAATTAACATAAGCATTCTATTACAATATATTTGTGAGCTTCCATATATATGTGTGTGCCTATGCATGCATGTATGTATACTCACTCTTAATCAAAGGCATCACCCACAACAACTTAAAATCACACTTGTTGAACTAACGGGTGAAATAATCAACGAAGCATGTAATAATCCCTTGTGCCTGTGCCTCTGGGTGTGTCCCACTATACCTTATCATAAAGCTCCTCAATTCTTCTTGACATTGATAGTTTCCGTCGAACACTCCAGAACAAAGCTGTGCATCCAACAAGCTGTTAAATCTCAAAAACAATCAACATAGTTTACTTACCCATGCAGAAATATATGCATTAAAGTATGTCTTTAGGAAACGGATACCATGGCACAAATGGGCAAAACAAGTAGAATATGCTGAGAGATCCACTGACGAATACGGCAGGAATATGGCTTGTAATGCACTGCCCACAGATCTGGACACTTAAACTCCTTCATCCTGTATGAGAGATAACTCGTATGTGACATCCTAAGAAGAAATTTTAACCTCTAAGGAAACATGTTCTAACGGCCACTTTTGACTTGATTAAAATGGAACAGAGATGATATATACCCATGAGAGTTGTTTAATCTCGTCTCCAATAATTGCCCCATTGTTTCAACTGCCCTTTGTTTTGTATAATTATGAAGAGCATTGTCCACTTTGACATTTCCCACGGGCTCAAAATAATTCAACAAAACATCCTCACGAACCTGAGATGGGAATACAAAAGGGAAGTTGAAATCAGCAGCACTAAGAACAACTCGAACAATAACGTATACAGCCAAGCATAAATAAATACAAGTAAACTGCAAAATCCAAGGGCTAAAAATGAGAGAACAAACCCAAATTGGTCCGGTTCCACTGCACAAAAATTGAGCATATCCCTCACACAAGTGATGTTCCACTCTCTCCACCTGTGGTCAAAGGCCAATCAGAAAGATATAACAAAATGCAAAAGAACAACGAAAAAATAATAGACTGTATTTAGTTCCAAGAAATAGTAAGTCACTACTCAAATCAAAATATAGAGACATACAATCTTTCGAGCTGATTCACTGATATCTCCGTCTTCTAGACACAAGTTCCCATGTCTTTGGTAACCCTGAAGGCATTCCAACTTTCCATCGTTGCATTCTCCATTACTGGGACAAGGTTCACAAACATCTGTAACAATTCCCAGTCAGTAGAAAACCTCACAAGATGCATATAGTCTGCAAAATCCTACACGTTGAGACTACAAAATTTGATTGATAATACAAGGCCCCAGAGAATGAACTCCCCAAAAAATAATCAGAAGTAATACGAAGCAGACAAACATTGATTAAAGCTTGAATTAGAAAGTAATCTGCATCCTACCAAAATAAATAAAAGAACAAAACAATGTATAACAACAAGAATCAAATTCAAATTCAAATATCAAATGAAACCCCATACAAAACGCCACGGCATATTTCAAAGAAAAACAAAAGGAAATCAGATGAATTTGTTCATCATTGTTAGCAACAACTATCAACTGCTCTGTCCTCATAATATTTAGCCCTGAAAAGAAGGCTGTCTCACTCTAATTTTCCTTTTCCTTTTTAGCGGCATTCATTCCCTCTCTCTATTACGCATTGTTCTTTAACCGAGAAAAGGAAAACGGCACAATTCAAATAAACAAAATAGGGAAAACGAAATAAAATAAAATAAAATAATCCAGAAAATACACGGAGACAAGGCATGTGCAATTCAGCATTCATAGCACAGGAAATTACTAAATCAGAGTTAAATTGAACAACCAAAAACCAGAGGCTTGTTGAGTTGCAACGTTAGTTGGAAGAAGATGACAATAAATGAATAACTCAACACCCAGAACAGAATCATATGAAATGCACGAAAATCACGACACATAAAAACAACAAAACAGAAGCAAATGAAATAGAAAGAGAGGGAGAGACCAGGAAAGTAATCGGAGGAGTGGAAATTGGTGTCGCAAAAGGGTTTGGAAGGAGGTTGAAGGAGAGAGGTAAATAGGAAATTGCAGGTCCATGCAACTAGCGATGCGAGTGCGAGCACGAGAACCAATCTCGGTAAGTCGTGTTTGGATGGTAACAAATTCTGAGGGGGTTCTCTTCCCATCAACGATTTCGCGTCAATGCCTGAATTATCTGGAATCGAATTAGACAAACACCCCCTTCGCCGATTCTGCTTCATGGTTACAAAAATGAGAAATATAAGACAAAAGTTTTAAAAATTGAGGAGAATGCCCCTTTATTAATTCGTTTTAGTTAGGTTAAATGTATTTTATTATATTTTTACTCAAGTGGTTAAATGTTTTATATTCATTATGTTTTATTATGTTTTACTCAGCCTCCATCATCGTCACACAGACAGTTCTCTCATTTCTCTTCCCCTCACCATCTTCTTCTACCTCCAGTACCAACACCTTCAATAGCAATTTCTCCGATCGCGCTTGGAAGGGGTCTAATGGTAGACTCTCCTTCGCACCACCGTGAGCGCTCCTTGCACTCGCCTTCCACCGCTGCCTCCTCGTCGAACAGAACCTTCGATCTCGCTCTGGAACTACTTGTAAGGGGCGCAAGGGAAGGTTCAGCGACAGTGTTCCAGGACTCACAGGTACCAATTTTCTTTTCAATTCTCGCGTCAATTTAAACTTAGTCTGTGTTTATTTCGGACCCTATCTACCCACACTGTTCGTTGCTTCAATCGAATTTTGTCATCTCATCTCGTATATTATTAGGAAAATTACCATTTTCTTAACTCTTAATTTTTTGTTCTGGATTTTTGTCCAATTCATTTGCTCGTTCGATCAAATTTACCATTTCTTTATATGAGATGGCGAGAGTTTCTGCTGGCTTTTTAGTTATTAGATGTCTGTGGTTTATTGGAGTATTGTATGAATGTATAGTAAATACATTTATCGCCCTATTTCATCCGATAAATCAAATTTGGGATAGTGTTGTTTTGAATTGATTATGGACATGGTTATGTAAACACTGCCATGATGGCAACGGGAAACGTATGCAATATTGTGTACGCTTTAGTTTGAGCCTTTTAAGTCAATTGATCGTTTCATTTTAGGTCTCAATTTCTAAGATATGATGAGGTTTGTAAAAGTATGTTGAAAGGGTATTGGGTTGTTGAATAAGGGTTGATCTCTTGAGATGTAGATTGTGGTAGAATAAATTGTGTTTCTTATACAAAATTGGGATTGCAACATGTGAATTTATTGTGATGCTGTAAAGACAAACATTTGAGTGTGTGTTCGATGAAAGTTTACAAATTGATTATGTTTAAAGTTGATTTTGACGTGAAGTAGTAATTTAAGTTTCGATGCTTTTATTCTATAAGCTACAATTCTGTCAACACAAAGCTCGTAGTGTTTCAATGGATTTTTAATGTTTGAAAGCGAATCCAGACATGCTTCGTCACCATTCATTAATCTTCGTGCGGATTTTGACATGTTCAGTTCGCAGTGTGCGTTATGTCTATGGCACCAACCATTCCCAATGCGAATGCGACGAGCCTTTGCTCCTACACTACTTATCCAATGGCTGCCACCATGAAGCGCGAAACCTCCTTCAAAATTCTTCTGGAGGTGACCTTCACGCACGTGTGGTTCGTTGGACCAAGCTACTCTCCAACTTCTCCCGCCACGGTTACGTGGCCGAAGCTCGCACACTGTACGACATAATGCCTCACAGAAACCTCTTCACTAGCAATGTCATGTTGACAGCGTACGTCCGCTCAGGCATGCTCGACGTGGCTTCCCGGTTCTTTGAGACCATGTTGGATAAGAACGTTGTTTCTTGGACTGCCATGCTATGTGGGTTTTCAGATGCAGGGAGGATCGAAGATGCGAGGAAGGTGTTCAATGTAATGCCTGAGAGGAATGTTGTTTCGTGGAACGCTATGGTGGTGGCGTTGCTTAGGAGTGGGTATTTGGAGGATGCGAGGATGGTTTTTGAGAAGACTCCTTTCAAGAATGTGGTTTCGTGGAATGCTATGATTGCGGGGTATGCTGAGAGTGGTAGAATGAACGAGGCTAGAGAATTGTTTGAGAAGATGGAGTTTAAGAACGTGATTACTTGGACTAGCATGCTATCTGGTTATTGCCGTGAGGGGGATGTTGAAGGTGCTTTTTGTTTGTTTCAGGCTATGCCGGAGAAAAATATTGTTTCTTGGACTGCTATGATTGGTGGGTTTGCTTGGAATGGCTTCTATGAAAAGGCATTGCAGCTTTTTATTGAGATGATGAGAGTTTCTGATGCCCAACCCAACGGAGAGACCTTTGTTTCTCTTGTTTATGCTTGTGGTGGTTTGGGTTTTTTTTCTTGCCTTGGCACAGTACATGCTCAGCTTTATTGTTAACATTTGGGGTATTGATGATTATGACGGTAGGTTGCATAGAGGTCTTGTTAGGATGTACTCTGGGCTTGGTATTATGGATTCTGCTCGCAACGTGTTTGAAAATAATTGAAAGACTCTGATGACAGTGTTTCAATTCCATGATGATGGTTATGTGTTTGGGCCGGGTCAGTGCTAGATTCAAGAGTTGTTTGATTTTTTTTTTGGACATGGTACCCACTAGGAACAAGGTTGCATCGACTTGCATGATTGCTGGCTATCTTAGCGCTGGCCGAGTACTGGAGGCTTGGAATTTGTTTAATGACATGCCTGATAGGGATTCCATTGCGTGGACTGAGATGATTTATGGGTATGTACAGAATGAGCTCATTGCTGAAGCCTTCTGCTTATTTTCTGACATGATGGATCGTGGTGTTTCTCCTATGAGTTCTACATATGCTATTCTATTCGGAGCTATGGGTTCAGTTGCATATCTAGATCAGGGGCGGCAATTACATGGTATGCAGTTTAAGACTGTGAATGAAGATGATTTGATTCTTGAGAACTCTCTAATTGCAATGTACGCAAAATGTGGGGAGATAGATGATGCATATAGGGTATTCTCTAACATGACTTGCCGGGACAAAATTTCTTGGAACTCCATGATCATGGGTCTTTCAGATCATGGCAGGGCCAGTGAAGCTATAAAAGTGTATGAACTATGCTTGAACTTGGAATTTACCCAGATGACTCTTACATGCCTGGGTGTCTAACAGCATTGCTCATGCGGGTCCTGTTGTATAAAGGTCGGGAGTTTTTTATTGCCATGGTCAATGCTTTTTGCTATTAAACCTAGCTTGAGCATTGCCAATCAGATTATCAATCTTCTGGGTCGAGCAGGAAGGTTGAAGGATGCAGAGGGAGTTTGTTTCGAAGCTTCCTGTTGAACAAAATCATGCCGTTTGGGGGGCTCTAATTGGAGTGTGTGGGTTGAGTAAAAATGATACAGACGTCGCTACGCGTGCAGCCAAACAACTGTTTGAATTGGATCCTTTCAATGCGCCTGGGCATGTGGCCCTTTGTAACATATATGCCGCAAATGATAGGCATATCGAGGTAGACGAGATTAGGAAGAAATGAGGTTGAAGGGTGTGAGGAAGGCACCCGGATGTAGTTGGATATTGGTGAAGGGGAAAGTTCATATTTTCTTCTCAGACGATAAATTGCATGCGTGTCTTTAAGAGAAGTTATTTACCTGGCTTCCACTATTTTAGAATTTTGAGAATGTAAAAGGATATAGAATATGTACATTAAAACTCAGCACATGATGTGATCATTGAAGTCAAAACATCAAGATTTCCGCCTGTATAAATCCAGTAATCTAATAAGATAAATAAACCTTTGACCGATAAAAAAAGAACAAAAAAATATGTTAACAGATAAAACAAATTTGATAAAGTAAACAAAGAACGAAAAATCTTCCTTTTTCTGCAACCCACGCATCAAAGAAGCAACTAAACACACAACAACTTAGATGTACATTATATTTCTATATTTATAATTGATTATATTAATAGTGAGTAATTTCTTACAATAGGATGCTAAAATATGGTTATTTTGCTTCTTGAATTTTATTATGTTTTCGTATATGTAAGTATTTTAAAAAATTTAATTAAATTATGCATAAATCATTAAGACATATATATCTTTTTTTATTACTATTATTATTTCTCTTCTTGCTTTCTCTATTGCTTTTTTAAGTCCATGATTAACATGACATTTTTTTCTCTTCTTCACATTGTTCCAAATAACATTCCATTAATAGTTTAAGAGTGATGGATTATTATATTCAGATGATGAGTTTAAATTTGAGTCTGAAATATTTTTATTTATTATGAAAATAAAAATATATATCTTAATTACTAACTTGTATTATCCAAAATTTCAAGTTTACGGTCATGTTATTCTGTATTACATCAAATTTTCTAAGTTATAGTAACATAAAGTTAAAGTTCTTCTCTAATAAATTTGTTTACTTATAAATCCGTTGACACTTTAACATGACACTAAGTTAAAATTTTCCATTCAAATAAAATAAACTATTTAATTCTTAAAAAATTGTATAAATGTTTTTAACAATATTTTTGGTTTCATCAAATATAATTTAATACTTTGAAATTTGTAGAAAATTTCTAGTTAAATTTTTTTTATTCTCTTAAATATCATAGCTATACAAAACTCTTTAAAAAGCTTATTAAACTTTTAACAATTGATTTTGTGGAATGATAAACTACTCATAAAGATGTTTCCATAAAATATCAAACAACATTAAAACAAGTGACAAACCCTTAAGATTAAAATTTTAAAGTATTATTAATGAAACAAAGAAAAAGAAAATAAAAGGAATCAGAATCTTTCTATTATAATTGGACCGTTGATTCCTACATGATGGTGTCGGTTTCTGGTAGTTTCAAAATGCAAAATTAAAATACGATTAAGATTGAGGTTCAGCTACAGTGTTCCAGGACTCCAGGTACCAATTTTCTTTTCAATTCTCGCGTAATTTAACTTGTCTGTGTTTATTTCGGACCCTATCCTACCCACACTGTTCGTTGCTTCAATCGAATTTTTCATCTCATCTCGTATATTATTAAGGAAAATACCATTTTCTTAACTCTTAATTTTTTGTTCTGGATTTTGTCCAATTCATTTGCTCGTTCGATCAAATTACCATTTCTTTATATGAGATGGCGAGAGTTTTCTGCTGGCTTTTTAGTTATTAGATGTCTGTGGTTTATTGGAGTTTGTATGAATGTATAGTAAATACATTTATCTGCCCTATTTCATCCTGATAATCAAATTGGGGATAGTGTTGTTTTGAATTGATTATGG